GCGCGGACATGTGCTAACAATTCAAAGGACAGATTTGTCTAACAGTGGATCTCGTTCGTTCTCATAATCGTGCCGCTGGAAGGCAGCGAGGAACGAGGGGTTGGAGAGGCCCTTTGGTCGCAACTGGAACGCGCATTAATTCGAGGAAAAGAGGAAATAAAGATACAGGAAATTTGTCGTTTCCCTACGGAATTCTACGCTTAATATACCGTTCCCGCCGTCGAATCGGAAAGAATTAATTACAAGCACGCGCATTATCTTCAGGCACAATAACCACGGACACCGGCAAAGCGGACGGAAAAACAAGTTCAAAGAGGAAAGGAAAATACCGAGTTAAATGGAAAACGGGAGAAGAGAGAGAGAGAGAGAGAGAGAGAGGCGAACGTCGACAGGCGACACACGGATAAATTATAATTGCATGATTCCTTGAGGGCAGGCCGCGCGTCGCCGCGAAATTGCTAAAATTGGCAGAAATGCGCGACCATTTTAATTACATCCCCCAGTGTTCACGTCGATTTTTCTCTATGAATTCTTCCATCTGCTGGAACAACCAGCGACGCTCACACTTCGACGATCGTGGTGCAACGATGATAATTGAACATTGTACACCTGCCTTTTAATAAAACTCCCGAGAAAATCGTACCATGTTCAGTCACGAGGAACGTGTACCGATGTTTCTCATTCGTGACAAATAGCGTACGGTAATTAGAAATTGCCGTTACTCGAAAGAGGAGAAATGGAATTTTTCTCTCGAGTCCTGTCGTTTAAACGTTCTGCCGAGAAAATCCTGCGGAACCGGGCACATCCTAATTTGTCCGTTCGCGCGGACAAGAAAGACGCCGAAGGAAAAATGGGACGAAAGGCGGTCGACAAGACGCATCATCCCCGAGTATTCTGCAGGACACGCGGTCAGGGGAATCCTCGTTCGCGCGGCATGGGGCCCATGGTGCAGGACACAGGCAACGCTCGCACAAAACACGCGATCTCTCCTCTTTTTTCCCTTTGTAACCTCACACCTCCAACAAAACCGAGCCGACGAAAGATCCCCGTTCGACGTCGGCTGGGTTTTACCGAAAATACCCCACGAGAAAGGCAGACAACGCGGCAGATCCTCGTGGATTCTCAATGGACCCTCATAATCGGCCACGGTTCCGCGTCGTTTTCCACGTTTCAACCGCTCGTTGTCGGAGAAAGAACGACGATCGTGATCTCTGCAGTCGAACGAGACGTTTCTATCTGACGTAGGGAACGTCACGTGGAACGTGTCCATTCACAAATTAAGATATCTCGAAGCCAGGTCAGCTCGATCTCTTCCCGGATTCTCCTCGAAGAAGCGTCACCCTCGATTCGTACGAAACGTTATCGACGAGAGGATTTTTTTAGGTAATGCTCGATGGTATTTGACGGCAACGTCTGGTGGTATTTAATTTCAAGGTACACAGGGGAGAAATAAATGAGAGCCGTTGTCCTCGCGTAATTTTAATGCACAACTATAACGGCTACGGGAGAGAGAGAGAGAGCTGGAGAGGGGAAGAGCGAGAGACAGAGAGGGAAACGAGGGACAAAAGTTATGAATAAAACGGATCGATAGCGTATGATAGTCCCGTGATGGCCGACGCAAAAATGCTTTTAGCCGACACAGCGTGTCCTCACCCTCCTGGAAAAATCCACCTCCCGACTTTTACTGCTTCATCAACTTCGTGCATCGTCATTTTCGCTGTAATTTCGCTGAAAAAAATGTCCGTCTTATTTATTAGAAATAAAGCCATCTCCGATTTGGCGGACGATCCAATTCTCCCGGAGCTCGTCGGAGCTCGTCGGAGCTCGCGATCAACACGTAGATCAGAACGGTGGCAATGGAACCGTCATTATCGTCGTATGACGCAACAATGGCGTATCGAATTCCATTTTCATCCCCCAAACTCTGTCGACGATCGGGGGCGAAAGAGAGGCTCGTAAACATCCCGTGCCCCTGGTGCACCGGTGAATTTCCCAGAGTTTCGAGAAATTCGTTGGGCGTCGCGCGCCACGCAGACTGAAACGGTCAATTATCATCCCCTAAATAACAGGGCTGTTTACGATTTCAGGCGTCGTACGGACCCCAGACCGAACGTCGCATTAGCCCTGGCGACATCTTTGCTTAATTTCCTCTTAGTTTAAAGCACGCCCCCGGGGCAGACGATCGTAGACGATTCTCCACCCTTGATTGGGTCTTAATTAATTTCTCCCGATCGATCCAATCGTCCGTCCACTTTCCCGCTAATCTCTCCAACAAGTAGCAAGGTCTGGCTAACGTTTCGATCGTTTCCGACAATTGTACACGATGCACGGTCGATTGAATGAAAAACATTACCAGGTGGAATAAAAATTGAAGGAAGGTAATATCGTGCCAGCAGGTCAGGTTTAACGAGATTTTCCGATAACCAATCGTTCGAACGATAAAGAGACGAGGAGAATCGTAAATCAAAGGGTACGATTTCGCGGCAAAAGCATCCGCGGGTTAATTGCGCGGCTGCGTTCAATCCGAACGGAGATAATCGAGGTTTGCGTCTGCTTTTTCCGATTCATACACACGCGGTGGACGTTTCCTTCCCCGATCGAATGCGTATTTTCCCGTACTTGACCCACTTGACTCGTGCCGGGAAAGTAATGCAAGTAATGACGAGGCAAACGGTGCCCTACGACCCGTGTCTAACGCGCAGCAGATGCCACCCCCGATGCCTGTTCCAACGGAGGCCAGAATGTTTCTAAGGGAAGCTACCCTTCGCGTATCTAGCGGTATAAATTATATCCGAGTCGCGTCACTGCCAGCCCCTTATATGATCGATCATTAGAGAAGCTGGTCTGCCGGAGAATTTGCCAAAATCAGATCATTTCTTCTCGAGACGTTGCGCGCTCTTCCCTCCAAAAGATCAGCCTTGTAGCGAGAGTAATAACCGTTCCCTACTGTGACTAACGATCTTCAAGCTCGAAACTAGAAAAATCAATTACATTTCACTTCTTTCAAACTGTCTCTGTTTTCCGAACAGAATTCAAACTTTCCACCCCAAACAGCCTATTTCCCCGTTCCGATCTCAACTCTATCGAACGCGGCACCGTAACATCGCATTGTTCCAAGAGAGAAGCAGTCCTGGCACTACGTCGACGCAAGTGCATCCCAATTAATGAATCCCCGGCGAAACCGTGCGGGACAATTAAGTTGACGCCGGAAACGCCGTGTAGCTGAGGCCCGGGGCAGCGGCGTCGTGATTAATGCAGGCCA